AAGCGGCTAGAATAAGCAGTAAGCGACCCTAATTCTATATATTTTTACAAATAGGTTATAGAAGTTACTACCTAAATTAATATTTAAGGGTACATTAAATACTAATAGAAGAAAGATTATAAATAGTTAATTAAATTATTTCTTTTATTATTTTTTATTCTTTTCCCCTTTATTTATATCCATCTCCTTCCTCCACCCCTTATATTACGCCTTTAAACTATAAATCGTATATAAAACTAGAACCGATAGAAGGTACTAACGCTGTATTAATCCTACTATTTATGGATAAATAGGTAATAATCCAAGCCGAAGCGGGTAAATAAGTGCAATACTATGCGTAATATAGGGTTTCCCCTTTTATTTTTTTTACTTTTTTTCTTTCTTTTCCCTATAGCCGGTACGGTTATTAATTTAAAGTAAAACCTTAACCCGATAGAAGGGTAAATTAGTACCGTATCCTTTACTTACTATTTATGGGTAAATAAATTATAATATAAATAGAGGCGGGCAAATAGTACATTCCCTACTTAACCATAGGAAAAAAAAGGAAAAAAGGAAGGAAGTAGAAGTTATACATTTTTTCCTTTTTTTCTTTTCTATTTCTAATATTACTTTATATAGAAGAAAAAGCGGTATATTACCTAGGAGTAACCGTCGAATTCAATAAAACAGTATATAATAGCGAAAAATTGATAGTTAAATAAATTTATAAAAAATTCAGTAAAGAAATGGGTATTAATAACGATAAAGTATTATTAATTATAAATACCGCTAAATTTTATAAAATAAAGGATATATTTAATACCCTCGATAAATATAGTATTAATAGAACTATAATCCCTAGTAGCCTTACCCCCTTATTGCAACCCTTCGATACCTATATCAACAAATCTATTAAAGTATACTTTTTCAAAATATATAATAAATATATCGAAGAAAGGGAAGTCCGGGACGGTAAATTCGAATAGTAGACCCCGTCGAAAAAAAGGATTATACTTACTCATATTATAATACGAGCTATTTAATTTATCGACGAAAAGAACCCTGGTTTGGTAGCTAAATCCTTTATTAATTATAGTTTTTCTATACGGCTTAATAAGTAGGAAGACTACAAAATTAAAATTAAAGGTATTAATTAGAAAGATATCGACTTTATTAGATTCGAAAAAACTAATAATATTAACGTTATTAATAATACCCAATATTTCAAACCTAATAAGGAGGCTACTCTTAACGGACTATAAATAAATTATTCAAATTATACTATTAACTAGCTACGGTCCTTCTATAAATAACGGCGGATTTTTAACTTCAATAAATTTAAAAAGCTCGAACTCGTCTCTATACTTCGAAAGGCCAATTATAATACTATCGTCAAACCGTCTAATAATTTGGATAATATGATATTAAATATTAAAAAGGAGGAAGGAAGTTCAACGGTACTAATTTCATTAAATTAATCCTCGTCTTTATTTTTAATAACAATAAACTCTTCTACCTATACAAATACTTTACCTTTTTACTACTCTCTCTTAATACCCTACATATCGTAATTTTACTATCGCCTCCCTCTCGATTTTATAAAGTATTTAACCAGATAATTCTCGTTTAAAATATACTCTTTAATAACTGACTTCTACTATTTTCGAACCCAACCAAAATACTAGCCACTACTTTTAAAGAATAAACCAGTAACGTATATAAACCTATAGGAAGAAGGTTGCTAGTAGACGATATTATATTCATTATCAACAATAAAAACTTTAATATCTTTAAAATCTTTTATTACGTCTATAAAACGAAGTTAAATCTAATAAATAATATAGATTATATAACCATTTACATACAAACGATATCGATAGTCCCAAGGTCAAGACGAGGCATAGTTTTATAGGGAAGAGTTGAAAATATCGTCGTTTTTATAGCTGGTGTTGAAGAAAAGAAGGATAAAAACGACGAGATTAATAGGAATTAAAATGCTAGCAGTCTCCAGAACCCCCTCTTTTACCAAGCAGCCACTCTAGCAGGGGAGGCCACTTTTTTTTCCCCTATAAACCATTCGAACCCCCTTGTATGGCCACGTTGATTACCCTAGTTGCAGGTGCCCACCTGGCTGCACTAAACTACAAGGAGGTTAGATAAATCCGGTTTGAATGAGAATAAGCGGTATCACCTCTGCACCAGGTGATAGACACCAAGATGACCACTACACTATTGCTCCGAAATATTATCAACCCGATTTCTCGCTACCGTAGCAGTCACCCATGGTCATGACTTTCCGGTACCGGTCTCTATGGGCTCGGCTATGACCGCATAGAGGTACGCTAGACAGGGTCAGGCTCACATCACTGCAGTGAACCCTAGAGGTTACACTGACGATATATCCAAGTTGACTCTGGACACCGGCAAATCGACTTTCTTAAATTCGCAAAAATGCTCACGGCGATGATATTGTATACCTGACAAGACGGCGTATCGTTCATCTAGCGCAACTCCAACGACAGCGCATATCGGGGTCCAACAGGGGTCTCCTGAATGATCACCTGAATGGTCTATCTCCTGCGGACGAAGAGCAAGATCCAAAAACGAGCTCGGGCTCGCACCGCAACGCGAGCAATGCTGGTATGGCCCCGCCGTCGCTCCCCCTTCCCCAGCCTCGCGTCATTGATATCGCGGGGCCGCCGTTAGTCCTGAGGATTGGCGCTGGGGTCGTCAACTTCAAGCACTTTCCCCGCAACATGGGAAGGGGGTGGCGAACAACTCACCGTCTCGTCTCAACTGTCCTGTCAGTCCCCAGGCTGCCATCCAAAGCCGCAATTCTGTCAAGGCCAGAAACAACCATAGTCAAAACCACCATAACATCGACGTGTAGGCCAAGAGCCGTTACTATCTTGACAAATACTCCGTGGGCAATTGGCATTACCAAGACTCATCTGTGCCATCATCACCGGTCAGAGTAGAGTCATGGCTGAAGCATACCGAAGATTGATCGACGGCCAAGTTTCGTCGCTCCTTACGGTATCATCAACTAGTGTATGCTACCTTTGCTATGTACTAGTACTCCACTCAAACAAAAGAAACACGGCAGCGCTTCGAAAAGAGTCCGGGGGGTGGCCGACGATAGCGTGCTGTATTACGGCCCTTGCATATATAACCTTACAGAGCTTACGGAATCCTGACGTTACACTCCAAGCTTGGTATTTGGAATCCGCTCAGAACCGGGAGCGTTACAGCGTAAGCAGTGCTGACTTTTATCAAATTCATATCAGCTACGCCTTGACAAAACATTTGCAGACAGAATAAAAGACACTCGAGGAAGGCACCCTCAAAACAGATCCAAATTGTTTCACAGCTACTCTGGGAAATGTCGGTACGGAGTTGGACCCGAGTGTAACCCCGTAGTCCGGACGTCCGACCCCAGTTTACTCTAGCTTTTTCTCCAGTTTTTCGGCGTTCTCGGTGTGAGGTGGTTGATACTCGGGCTCTTCTCATTGGCAACAAGTCAGGAGTTGCGTATCATTCATTCAGGGGGGAAGCACCTGTTGCGGAGAAAACCACGTTCTTGCAGCGTTTTACAGTTTTACAGAAGGCCGAAAGATCGACGACGATAAGAAAACCAACCGGATCGGCTGGACGTCTGTGCCTTGGCCCGGCCCCGGGTCCGGTAAACCGGTATCAACCGTAAACAACCCGATTCTCCCTAGTACACCGACAAAGGACGTCTCAAAACGTTCCCAAAACGTACCGCATTGGTTTTTCTTGGCTTATGTCACAGATACGGTGGGCAAGCATATCTACCAAAGCAGTATGGGCTGTTCAAAGATCACCGCGCGCGAGCGAGATCACGATCCAGGTCATGCCGCTTTGTTGGAGTCGCAAGGGAGGGTGAGCCTCAGGGTCGCACCCGATCCGCTCCGTTAACTCTGTGACGCTCTCCATCCTGTCGCCCGGCCGCCCGGCCAGGCCCTTCTTTCGACCACTCCCGTTGGCTCCCGCGCAATCAGTTTACCGAACTTCCCCAGATGCGCCCAGCTTCTAGCTTCACCTCCTTCTTGGTCAACTCGCACCGTTCTCGCCAAGCTTCGGCTCTCACCTTTCCCCAAGTTTCCTACCCGAAAACCCCCAATCCCCAAACCCAAAACGGTACAAGTCTTGCCATCATCGGTACCAAGCCATTGGCCCTACATATTGATCTATTCACGCACCCCGGATTTTGGTTTGCGTACCCCGGATTGTGGTTCACGTGCGGGTGTGTTTCAAACTGCCGAGAGAGTCTTGTCAGACTTGGTTGGCTTTTACACCATCCTATCATTTTCCCCCCCCTCGCTTCTTCTCATCCCTCTGCCTACTCAGAAACACCATCATCATCACAACAGAACATATGTGGTCAAGCTCACCATTCACACATGTCTTGAACATTATTTCTTATACCTATTCCAATCGACCAATGCGGGTTGGGGGGCCAGTTCACGATCCCGCCACCACACTTTGCAGTGATGTCATGTACAAGTCCGGCGATCTGGTCGCGCATGGTGTGTTGAGTCGTTAGGGTCGTCGAACTTTACCAGACATGGGAATTTGAATAAAATTCAACTTCCAGGATTGCCAGGTCTACCAGGGCACACATATACTGACACTTTTTGCCGCTGGCCAAGACCCGGTGTGTGACTGGTTTACTAGGTAAGTAAGCACTGCCAAAGTTACCTGGAAGACCGTATCTCAATGTCAACATCTTTGTGTCTTCCCCTGGCATTATCGGCGAGTCTTTTACTTTTGTATACGATAATCATTACTTACGTTCCAGTAACTTGCCCTAAAAGGCGCCCGCCCGTGGAGATCTTTCTATTGTGGAACCCTCCTCTTACATCCATTATGTACCATGGTGATTTTGAGTACCTTATCCAGCTTACATGCCTCGTCTAAGAGGGATGGATAGTTCAGTTCATTGTTGGTTTACAGATACATACCCCCAAAATTCATTTCATGCGTACCTCCATGTCCGTTCAACCCAGGTCACACTACATATCTTCTAAAGGATCTCGATAGGTTTCGGAACCGTGTGTAAGGTCGGTTGATATCATCCATTAATCAGGCCAACAAGCAAACCACTGCACACACAACGAGACTTCCCATCAATACATTTCTTCGCGGTAGTTAAGAAAAGAAGAAGGAAAAAAATGTTCAAACGAAACGAAACCATGAAAAAGTCAAAGACGCAATTCATCACGATAGTGAAAGAGGTGTGTGTCAAGAAGATGCAGCAAAAAAAGAGCAAAAAAAGAAACATACAACACCAGGGATTCGCTGGTCGTCACCGACCCAACTACTAGTCTGGCCCTCACTGGCTTATCTATGGGAGAGCGGACGGGATCCCGAGTTTTCCAGTGGGTATGGTCGTATGTGATTGTATATGGTAGAGAAAAGAGTTTATCAAGGCTGCTTGCTGTGATCTGGGTATGTAACTAGGAACAGGTTTTGGTGGGTATATATATGGCCGCTGTTCGAGAGTCAAGACATACATACATACACACACAGTACATAGAGGTACTACTACCTCTCTGCTCAACACTCTCAGCTCTGTCAACTATTCTTCTTGGGTCTGTCTGAGCACTCATACATAATACCACTTCTGTTTGTAAACCTTATCTCTGTTATTGTTTAATACCTACCCACCCCCTAGACTAGTTGATTGTGTACCTGTCCGTCTGTTGCTCGTTCATTATTGCTGTTCATTTGCTCGTCAATTGCTCGAGCCGTTTTGATATCACTTTCCATTTCCCCACATTCCTCTTCCCTTCCAAGTTCCCAACCCGTCCGTCCCCATTCGGGTGCCACCCATCACTAAAGACTAAACGGAGGGATTGAATCAAATGAATCAAAATAGTCCGACAGCTCTGACCAGAGTGGTATCGAATCGGGTGATTGCTGCTGGCGGCGATTCTGGTTCTGTCCAGGTTGTAAGGGAGGATTTAGTGTTTTGTTGTTCACCTGCCATTGCCTTCTACCACCTAACGAAGGGGAGTTGTGTGGACTTCCAGATTTGTTTCTGGGGGTTGGTTGGTAGGTGTAAATATGTGGCGGAGAAAATGATTGGGAATAATATTGATATTTGCTTGATGTTGCTTCGGTTGTGCATGTGGAAAAAAAAAATATTCATGTGTTCGGTGACGTGACATGGCTGGTCCTGGCCTAGTTGTGTCCATATATCCCCAAGGGCAGATGAAGGTAGATAAAAGATATGTTGAATCAGATCTCGTCCTCACACACAGATCAACCATATCAAATTCATTCAAATCATACCCTAGAATTGTACCCCGAACCAGCCTGATACACGCGCGACGACGAACCACTGCTAACAGAGGAAGAGCCCTGGTTCGCTTTCTTCCGCGGTTTGTTGTCGTAACCACAAAGCATGACCATGAAGTGGTGGCGGGAGCCGGCGATGGTCTGTTTTTAAATGCCGAACGGTCAGTCAGCTTTTATATGCACCAAATGTCGAGAGAGAGAGAGAGGTAAAAGGAGGGAATGGAAATGGAAATGGGAGGAGGGCGGGGGACGGGACGCACCATGCCACTGGCCTCAGCATGTGTTATCAACAACTCGGGGTCGTTGAGAAACATGGAGGCTTTGCGACGCTTCTCGCGGGTGTCGTAATCGACGTGGTGACTGGAGTTGGACATGCTGGAGAGGGCTTTGGCGTTGCCGGAGATTTCTACTCTGTGATTGATGGTGAGATTAGCCTTTGTTGTCTTTTCCGCTCGTTTTTTTTGTATGTGAAGCCTTGTCCTTCTTGCCCGCCTGTCTTTCTGCGATTGCCCAATGCCCACACCTTCCCTTAAAGTTGGCATCTTTCTCTGCAAGGCACACTCCTCCTGCAAGTCCCACCACCTCCTTCCGTTCGTCTCCTGCTTGCCCCCACCACTTTTCTTCGCCACCCGTTCATCTCCATCCCAAGCAACACCCATACAGCCGAACCGCAACCGCAACCTTCCCCGGCCAACTCCCAACGTCATCCCCAACCCACAACAATAATCAAAAAGAAAAGGAAAATACTTACTTCCTCCTAACATTATTCCTCTCCCCCCACGACAACCCTCCACCACCTGCACCACCACCTCCCCCCCTTCCCATGCCCATCCCCGTTCCCCTTCCCCCCCTACCAGCACCTACACCTCCAATCCTCCCTCCCAATCCCAACCTTTCTCCCGAACCCCCACCACCATCAAAATCACTCTCCTCATCCGACCGTTCAGCATAAGGATCTTTGCCTCTAGCTTGCTTGTCTCGCATTTCGGGGGTGAAGTTGCTGTTTATATGTCCTCCGACGTTGGTGGTACTGCTGGTGAGGTTGTTGTTGTTGTTGTGGAGGTTGGATGTGCTGTTGTTGTGGGAGGAGTTGGTGGTGGTTGAGGCGAAGGGTGAGTGGGTGTCCATTTTGTAGACGGGAGGTAGGCTGAGTGGGTGCGTTGGTTGGAAGGTGAGGATGGTCGTTCGGTGGTGATGGTTGATTGGTACTTGGTGAATGTGGTGATGGAAGATATGTAAGTTGGTTTGTTCGATTATTCGAAGGATATTGCAAGGTGAATGGGAAGGTGTCCGTGTCCGTGGTGGTGCTGGTCGGGGCGAGATATGCAGTGGATTTGGCGTTTACTCTGTCGCTTCGTGAACGTTTTATAGGTTCGAGTTTGGAATTTGTAATCGGTGCTGACGTTGATTCCGGTGCTATCTTTCAGATTTCGGCATCAGATGAAGGACGATGCGAGTTTTGGTAAATAGCACTTGCGATGTCGTCTTATATCTTCGTTGGTCAATAGGATTGATTGTGAGCGCAGTGTAACGACGTCGTGACGAACCTCAAGTCCCTCTGCTCAATTAGTGGGGTACCCTTCCTACAAAATATCACACCCACGGGCAACCTTTGGCGTGCCTTAGTGTTTCTTGCTTGTACAACCCAATCATATGAACTTCAGTCCCATCTAAACAGCACTCTCACCACCACACCGGTAAAAACAAACCCATTGAAAGCTCGCCTGCACCTACCCGCACCACCATCTCCATTGATTTCACATGCACAAATTCGCATGGTGAATGTAAACAGTCAATTCGTGAGCAACCTCATACGGAACTGAATACTTACTGCGAAAAGGGATTAGGCCATCCTACAAAAGTCGAGATCTCTGTGTCCTTAAGTATAGTGCTCAAGGCGAGCTTAAATGTCCATTTCAAACAACGCGCATTGTAGTTACCAGCGACCCGACATGTCAGATTTCAGTTACCCACTGTACCAAAGTTTCGAGTCACGGAATGACTGGTCACGTTTCTGGTTCCTCAAGCGTAAAATAATGCAGAATCAATGGCCCCTTCGTATCTCGGGAACATAATACAAGTGTGTACATATAACTAAATATTCTCATGTCTAGCCCACAAACGAACCAGTTCGCCATATCATCGCGTGCATCCATGCTGTTTCGGGAAACCAAGCATTACCACTCATAAACTAGACTGTTATTGTCTCCATCCATTGCCTTCTTGAGTCTCGCACGTCTTCGCTGCGGCTCGTTGTTTTGACTCAAGAGTTTTGTTGCCTAAATAAAACGAAATACTTCATAGTCATTAAAGGCGCCGTCCGGTGTTCCGAAACCAAACGCTGTCCCAATGATAGAAAAAGGAAAAGGATGTTAAGTGTCGTGCATAAGAACCTGCAAGGGAAAAGAACGTTGGTGATTTCTTTGGAACGCCTCGAGATAGCGTTCATCCAGAAGTCGGCAATTGTGTGTAGATGATATCACCTATCGCCCGTGCCTTGGTAAACACCACGTCGAAACTATTAGGACAGCGGGTCTGTCGAAGGATGCGGGTATTCAGGTCACCGGTGGGCTAAAGAGAGGTGCCGGGCCGGAATCGAATTCGAATATCCACGGTACCGATATAAATGTTCCTCATCGTCGCCATCCGCTTCCGTCCAGTTTCGCTCGCCTTTAGGTCATACCATAAGAACACGAGTGTCTCAGGGCGACAACCGGCCTCAATATCCATGTTGCCTCCTTCGACTATGGTGTGTTTGGTGGCAAACATTTCGACCTAAATAGGGCCTAAACACGCCCCTCGTGTTTGTCTGCGACGGCTGTTCATGTGCGCATCCTTTCCCTGCCGTAGCTCATAGCGGCCTCCAGCTTGCAACTCTATGGTGCGGCGTCTAAGAAAATTTCTATCCAATGATGACGAACGGCTCAGTGACGGTATCGTGGTTACCAGGTCGAGAACCACAATAGCCGCTGAAAAGCTACCCCCATGCGATGCTAGCAAGCACTGCTGGCAGCGAGCCTGGGCGCAACAACTGGAGGCAATATGGTCCTTGTACAACGGAGGGACTCAAGCGGGACTAGGAACGTCATCTTGACGCCTAACAACAGACTCGCCTCGCGTTTCGCACTTTTCGTGACATCGAAGCGGTTATGGATCTAGACCCAAGAGCCGCCGCCAAGCTGCGCGGACCAACGCGGGATTACGAGCTAGCCTCAGAGGGGGCATATGAGGACGTAGACGAGGTCGTGAACAAGGACGCGACCAAGGACATGTAAGATTCGTCAGGGGCCAGGCCGTCCTCGTCAGGGGTCAGCGCGAGTTCTTTAAGGCCATCCTTGAGTCGCGCCTAGCGAAAGTTGATGACAGCAAGCTGCGACACCGTTAGCACAAATCCACAAGCCCGGATGAAGATGGTACGTACCCGACTATTTAGGCCATACACCAGCTTTCCTCCCTCTGCATCCCAGCCAAGGCAGGGTGCGAGGATCTCGTCCGCTTCTGCGCCTGTTTTGGGGCTCCTCCAACCCGGATGCGACTCCTTGTTCCAGCTTGCGTAGGGCACCGTCGGATCGTCGAGCTTCCACACCAAGACCCTGTCCGCGGTTGCTCCGGCAATATGAGTGCCGTCGGGGGTCATGGCAATGCTAGCAATTTGATCGGCCATCGTCATCGAGTACTTCGCCTTGTTATCCGCGTTGCGCACGTTCCATATGCAGATGGCGCCATCTTCACCACTGGACGCAAGCAATCTTTCATCTTCCTCCGGCTCACGGTCCAAAGGCTGCCATAGAAGACCAGTGATGTTTCCGATATGGGCGCTAATGGACCGCCGTTGGCCCGCATGGTCCCAGATCTAACGGGCAGAGTGTTAGTAGAGATTCAAAAGTTGTTGTTTTCTTGCTTGTATCGCCCCACTTACATGAACGACGCCCTTTTCAGTGGCAGTAGCAATAAGCCCTGTCTTTGCATCGTACTTGATCTGGCTGAAACTTTCGTCCTTGCCGGTGTCGAACTCTCTGCCAGGTTCGATGCCCTTCTCTCCGCAGCGCAAGGCGACCAGGCAATCACCTCCACAAATGACAAACTCAGTTTCGCTAACCCAGCAAACATCGAGAACACTATCGTCGAGAGTGCGTTCAAAGAGGTGAGAGGCCGAGTTTGTGGTAGATAGCGAGAATACAGTGACCATTATACCGCGGCTATCGAGACTGACGCCCAAAAGCAAGTCTTTGTTGGGGCTCCAACGCAATTTGATGACAGGAGGGTCGACGCCATCGAAGCGGTGGATAGGCGAGCCATTGACATCCCAGATGCTAACGCGGGACTTACCCCCATGATCCACAGCCAAGGCAATGGCAGTACCGTCGACGTTCCAGGCAAGTGACGAGACGGTGGATGACTTGAGGACGTCCTGCTCGGTGAGGCTGGAGAAGCTGGAGTCGAGGGTGAAAGGGGGGGCCGTGCGGTCATCCACGTGACCTGCAGGGATGTCGGCCACTGGGGCGTCTCCACGCGAGACAGTCCAAAGACGGGCTAGTGCCTCGGTCCCGGCAACCGCCAAGATGGACGGGTTGCTGGGGTTCCACTCGCAGAACAGCGCCAGCGGCGACGCAGTAGGGTTTTCGGTCATCTGGTCCTGGCTTGTTGATAGTTCCGACTCGGTGCTCTCGTCGGCGCCCATGCGCAGAAATACCGTCGCCGGTGTGAGATCTAGCGGCTCTTCTGTCTGGGTGCCCTTCTCTGGGCCCTCGGTGCGTGGTGGTGGAGATGCGGCCTGCTCGCCCTCCAGGGGCGATGGGTAGGCGTGGTTGTTGTTGACATTGCTGCTACTCGAGTTGTTGTTGTTGCTGTTGTCTGCGTGAGAGTCGATTTCCATGGGCGTAGTGGCCGATTCCGCCCCGTTTCCGTTCTCGTTGCCATTGCTCAGCCTTTGTCGCTTCGCAGGCGTTCCGTTGCGCAATACGTGATGCGGCCGCTCACTCCCGCGTTTTCGCGCATTTCCATTCTCAATCTCGGTCTCGGCCTCCGACTCATCTTCCTCCTCCATGTCCTCCCCCGACTCATTGGGTGCTGGTTCAAACTTGAGAGGCCCGAACACACCACGGGCACTCTCGGCTGCTGCTTGCCCTTCACGAGTGTCCTGCTAAAGTGTCAGCAAAAAACCATGGACCCCAGTACAGCGCTGCAACCGCTGCAACCGCTGCAACCACAGGAGCCGACCCCCGGGGGTGTCTGGGTGTGCCAGAGGCCAGCGCAGCATGACGCCGCCCGCCATCAGGGTAATGCCGAATTGAACCCCAATGCAGCTTGTTGGAGAGCAGCAGATGGAAAAAGCGAATGCTAAGAAAAGTGCGCGGCTATCGTACCTGGTTGGCTTCGGCGAATTTCCTTTGGTAGTCTTCATAGATGAGGCCCTTGTTCAACAAGGACACCAGCGCGTACGTGTGCACATGCTTTGCAAAGTCAAATTTCCTGTGGGGAGCCTGCACTCGCCATTCTTTCTGGAGTTTGGCGGCAGTGTCTCGATAATCTGTGGGACAAAAGACGGTGCGCGCGGTTAGTCTCACAAGGCGGGAAAACGGGAAAAATACCAACCGCCAAGGGGCATGCGCCTTGGAGGGATTCAAGAAAAACAGACATACTTGACTCGAGTAGGTATCTATAAGACGGGAGATGGCAAGTCCATCGTCAGTACTTTGCCAATGCCATGGATAGCCCCAACCTAGGGAGGGAGAGTGCGCCGAGTCTTGACACTTGACAAGCAGCGCAGAGGGCGGCGGGGAGGGAGGGGCGAACCTCCAAACGAGATAGTTCACTCGGTCCGTGTCCAGTAGTTCTTTCATCGTCGTCGTCGCTCACGGCAGGTTGCTGGGGCGGCGAGCGATTGGATGGATGCAGGTTGTAAAAACGGGTTGAAGGCGACAGATGTACTGTCGGCGCGGTCCAGGGAGACGGATTGTATCGACGACCAGGCGCGGCGGATGGGTGTCAAGGAGCGCGTTTTCAAGAATGCCGAATCTGTAGCTTGTGGTGTTTACGCTTGGAACGGCGACGCTTCGGGTTGCGGAGGGCGGACGGCAGGATGGGATGGGGGAAAGGAAGCCTTCAAGATTTAGATTTGTGGTAGATTTGGCTGGATTTCGAAGTTGGCTTTGGCCTCTGGGACTGGACGGCGGGTAACGGGAGGGCCCCGGGCAGTGCGGATTTCCAGGTGTTCCACCGCAGCGCAGGGCCAGGCAGTGGGCAAGTGGGAGTGGGTGGTGGGAGTGGGTGCCGTGCACTGGGGGCAGGTGGGCGAGCTGCTTCTGCTGCTGCTAAAATGGAGGACAAGGAAGGTACTTCCACGAAGGTCACTGGTGGCCCTGCCCCGGTCCGGTCGTTGCCCTGGCGGCCCTGGGCCTTGCTGCTGCTGCGCGTTTAGGCGAGTGCTAAAATGCAGGCCGCGCGCTAGTCCCTTTTGGGATATGGAGAAATGGA